AATTAAAGTAAAACAGAAGGTTTTTCTTGAATGCACAAAATCATTTAAAAAAAAATTAGTACTAAATGCTCACAATTAGAAAGGACTATGTAGCAGACAGATGTATTTGGGGATATAATTCATCTGAATTGTTGAAAAAAATCTATCCAAATCAGATACTATACCTTTCAATGTTGGTTTATTTCCCTCTTGTGTTCTCTATTTTGGAGAACTATGTTTGGCAAGGTTTCCAAGTATACCATGTCAATTTTACAAAAACTAAAAATATTGTTGAAAAAATATTATCCCAAGAACATACGTAAAATTATAAATATTCAGCACATCAAGCTTTTGATATACTTTAGTGCACATGAACTGAGTAGCTGTCAAAATTACAACAGGCAACTCAAGTAATTATGCAGATTTATGCAAAACATTAACAAGAAGAATTAAATGCACAAATGAGGTGGCTACACTTGAATTGTTAAGATTATGAATAATTACCATGAATCTTTTTGCTCTTAATATAACTTGTTTTTGATAAACAAAGCCTTAATTATCAGAATACTTTTGAGAATTTTGGTGACCTTCATTAATCTTACAAAACAAGTCTCTTGTGTTCTGCATTGTAAAAGGCACATGCTTAGAATAAGTACACAAAACCTTGGGAAAAGCATATGTTAATGGCTACTACAAACTGGTGAACGATACCTCAGTTTTAAGTACACGAAATTCTGCACACGTAGACAAAAAAAAACAACATTGAGTGTTGGAAGGTGCTCTCAGCTTAGAAACAAACAAGCAAACAAACAAACAAACCCTGGGTATAGTGGGATTGCAGGTAGTAGGACAACGAAGAGGAAACTCAAATGATTTCACTTTGCAAAATAGCTTATATTTAAAGCAGAGAGGAACCACCAATATAGTAATTTCTCATCTTTAATATACAAGGAATGCAAAACAGCATTAAAGATTACAGAGACCTGAAAACATTTGGCTTTGGGGAACCCTCTTACTGGTCTCTTTCAATTCTCAGTTTTCCTCAGGTAAAGACAGCTCTCATAGTCAAGGTCAGTTCATATACCACCTTGGCTCCTGGGTAGGATCTACAGAATGGGCTGTACGCTTGGCTCCCCTGGTAATCTTTCTATTGCCCTCCTTCTCCCAGATAAGCAGTGGGACCTCTTCCTGTCCCCTCGGTTAATTTCAGAATTAATTTGCAACGCTGTCATCAACAGTGAAACAATTCACTGATCAACAGTTGCAATTCTTCATAACACTGTCAAACTCCCAGCTGCCACTATGGCAGGCGGTACTGCCCCAGCTCCAGACATTCTGCCTTGGGACGAGTGGTAAGAAAGGACTTTGGAAACAGTAAGTCTTTAAAGCTACCCACAATATTTCTTCCCTGGAGAGCAAGCTGTCAGATCAATGGTGTTTTTGTCATAAAAAAAAAAAAACAAGCACTCTCCAAGGGATTTGAATTTGTTTTGGTAAATGTCAGATAGCTTTGATGCATAAAAATTAACTTAAAGAGGTCACATTCCAATGGAGTACAAGCTTGCACTTTAAGAGAAGTTGTATCTTTATATATCATTACATGACAACACAGACCAGGCCGAGGAGGTCTAAACATCCCAGGGACGGTACAGATTGTGAGATGACTCAGAGGAACAGACAGTAAATACTGCTAAATTATGCCCAGACGAGTTAATAATTCTCAAGCATATTTCTGAAGACCATCCTGGCTAAAACACATTACCAGCACATTGCCAAGTCCCTGCCTGCTGTCCCAGAAACTTTTAGATTTAAAGAGAGTAACTTCTTTCAAATGAATTTTTCCTCGGATTGCATCCAAGTCAACAAAGCAGGAGCTGCCTGGGACAATCTGCTCCCATGTCTGTCCATTATCTAATCACATGTGTGACAGGACAATTGGAGTCTTGCTAGTAACCCCCCCCCCACCTCCCCAGGCAGAAACAAATAGCTGTTGACCAAAAATCTCCCACAAAACACCACCCTCAATTTCTCCCAACTTAGAACAAAGAGAAGATGCAAGTTTTAAAATGAAAGAAAATTGCTTCCAAGCACCAGAATTTGGCCTAGACCAGTAACGCAATTATATTATTTCCCTGTTCTCAAAAAGAAACAATTCTCTAAAAACAAAATTCTTTAAAAAAAAAAAAATAACAAAATACTTAACAACTAGCACAAGGGAATTCTTTTTTTTTTCTGCTCACCTGTAATCCATAATCATGATATTCAGAAGGTTTGAGGGTATAGAGCAGAATGAATCTTTCCATTGGCACTAAAGACTTGTGGCAGCCAACATTCTACTTCTCTACTGTTTCCTGGTTTGGGCCAAGTGTACCCAAGGCTTGGTTAGACAGGAGGGCATAAAGAACAATTTAGTGGATGGTCACCATGTCAAAGACTGTCGATTTCCTATCTGTATGGGAACTCTCTCTACCCAGGAAGATCATAACCTGTCTAAAACTGAGTAGATCAGTCTCAGAAAGTTGCCCGAGGCTGAGAGATTAAATGACTTTCCTGTGGTCACACAGATAATAGGTATCAGAGACACCATTTAAACTAAGGTCTTCCTGACTCTACCTAGCACTCTATTGACTATGTATGATATGCTTTTCTCTCTTCCTCCCTTCCTTCCTTCTTCTCTCTCTTTTTTCTTTCTTTCTCTTCCTTCCTTCCTTTCTTTTTTTCCCCCCAGAAACCTCTTTTTTCTCATGGTTAGTGTACAAGCCTACTGTGGATGACCAGTAAACTCTCTCTTCCTCAAATGGTCCTGTCATGGAGCAGAGTCTAAATGAACAATGAAGTTAAAACAATGAATTACATATCCATAAATCAAGGCTTACTTGCCAACCATATGGAGTATAAATAGGAAAGCTATTCAATCTGCCTATACCTTGGTGTCCTCAGTTTATCAAACTGGATACTTCTCTCTGCTAATGCCCCAAGATCATTTATGCTCTTACTATGAAGAAGAAGGTAGTTCTAAGTCCTTGAAAGAGAAAGCCCCAGATGCTTTGCAAACAATAAATTCATTTTCAATCCTTTTTAATAGTGTTTAAAGAGTTGTAAATTAAATCATGACAGCTCTAACCAGTGAAATTTTCTAACCTATTTTCAGGTCATGAATAAATAAATCAAATTTTAGAGTGTGAGCACTAATAGTCTGACTTGCCCACTTTGCCTTTATTGGAGGGAAAATGAAAAGCACACACCCAATAGCACTGCTATTGAAGGAATCACATAAGGATTGGGGAAAGAAAAGTCATTTAACCTATCTCAATCTCAGTTTCCTTATGTGCAAAATGAGGGTAATAATAGCAGCTATTCCACAGGGTTGTTCTAAGGAACAAATGAGATCATGTAAAGCCCTTTGCAAATCTGAAAGCGGTATATAAATGTTTGCTATTAAATAAGCCTTTCCCCAACTTGTACAGCTGCTCTCCAACTAACCTGTCTCGCTTATCAGGTTCCTGGGCCTCCTAAATAATATTCTTCTCTTTCCTCTTTGGTAGCGGCCCTCTCTCTGTGCCCCCAATAATAGACTCAGCACCCAGGTAACGGAAGCTCCTTTCCACTTTCCTTTTTTCATGCATGGCGTCAACTGGAGTGTGATTGGAAAATGGGCAGACATGGGAGCAGATGCCCAAGGCAGTCATTACTTGGATGTAATCCAAAGGGTAGGGGGGAGGGAGGGGAGAAACTTACTAGATATCAGCTCCCTCTACTATGCCTCAGCTCAAAGGGCTATTTCCAACGATATTTCATTCATTCATCCATTAAATATCCATTCAACAAATATTTACTGAGTGCCTTCCTCACAAGCCATATGTCAGCCTCATAGGAACCCTGATCCATATGGTACATTGACTGACTATGGGGTGATGATGCTGGTTTGGGGGATACGTGACCCTTTACTAACTGGCCTACAATATAAAAATAAAATGGTGCAGTGAGAGGATGATTGCCAAGGGACTTACAAGGTCACTAGATTACATGGAACCCCAGAACTTATCTTAATTTTATGTGGGGGAATCTAACTACAAGCATGTTATCTATATTTCACTTAGCCAGGAATTATCCATTTAAACAATTTGGATAAATGATGCTAGAATCTCTTCTTGCCACCTGTAAGTATAGTGTGAAACAAAGCATTTCTGATTCTCTTGTCAGGGTCTCTGTGACTATAGCTAAGACCAAGCAATGCCATTTGTAGGGAATTGGGTTATGGGCATGTGCCATACCACTTAGGCCAGGTGAAACCAAGTTAGAATAGGCAGTTGGATGCTGGGAGAATTAAAAGTCAGGATAAGTCAGGATCTGTTTAGTTGCCCCACTCTCCCTCAGTTATGATTAGCAGGCGTAATCTTTCCTGCACTGGGCAATCATATTAATCTCCCTTTTCTTGGTATCCATGTTCTTAGTGAGTCCAACAGACAGGTCATTTTGTACCTGCCTCTATTGCCATAATAATGATGCTATTCCCAACAATCTTGAATTAAAATGATCTCTTCAATCTTTGTGATTTCCCATGTCACTTACTTGCAGGACCACACATATTAGCACCCGATAAAATTCTGTATCATGTTGTTCTCTACAATGTTTATGTGTGACAGTATTGTCCCCCCAAGCACGTTTAAACTATTTGAAAATAAGGACCATATCATATTTTCTATATCATCTTCCATAGCACCCAACATAGTCCTTGACATATAATACAGACTCAATAAGTATTTGTCCAATCGAACAAAAGGGCTCAGGGCATACAGACAATTGCATTAATAACAATCAATAAGCATTTATCAAGCACTTACTGTGTGCCAGGCACTGTGCTAAGCTCTGCATCAAACATCAAACAAATGTAAAATTTAAATGAAATGTTGTCATTCTATACGTGAGCAGGCTGCAATATCTAAGAATGAGGAATTTCAAAGATGTCATAAAGGATGTCATCAGGAAAATGTATCATTGGAAGAGAAGATAGGCTGGTCATGTGGTAAGAGTAGAGGATGGCAGAGAGATAGCTTGGCTGCACCACTGATCATCTAACAAGGTCAGGAGAAAACAAGGAAGACCTCACTGGGTAGACCATCTGGGTTGAACTTACGAGAAGGTATGAACAATATTTGCTCAGGATGGGCTACTATAAACAGGTTGCAAGCTGTATGATTGGAGGGATCCTCTAGATTGATGAGATCACAGACGGATTTAAGAATATGGATTTCAATTCTATAGTAGTAATGAGATAAATGTGTATTTTAGAAAGTGCAAAAAAAAGATCTGTGGGAGTTACATATTTAAATGGAAAAAAAGTACAGATTTACATGTGGAAGGGACATTGGAGACAATTTAATCTATATAGCCCTGTGTATACAGATAAGGAAACTAAGGCTGAGAGGGCTAGTAACTTGTCCAGGGTCACTGGATAGTTGAAATGGGATTCAAACTTGGGCCCTTGACTCCAAATCCATCGCTCTTTCTGCTACAATAGACTTCCACCTAATTATCTGTCAAAGTTTAATGACAGCAATTTCACAAATTAAAACTGGATTTGAAAGTTATTTCTTTCTGGAAAAAAAAATGTTTCACCTAGAACACCCTTCTAGGACCACATTAAAATCTCTTCAATCAAATGGCAACTAGACCCATTGACGCTCCTCAACGCATTTTATTTGGTGATACTTAGCCTGCCCTAAGGTCAGGCCCTTCATTATTCTCTGGTTCACCCTTTGGGACAGTATCCTACCATCCAGCTGTATTTCAAAGTCTATTTCCTTTGTCAGCCTTTCCTGGGATCTTAGAAATCCTGAAGCATAGAATCATACTAGGCTCTAATATTTCCTTGATAATCACATATTCTCCAATAAGCCACAATACTTTGTTGGCCCTGTGATCCTGTTACAAATATCTACTCCCTCCAAAGATGGAGATTGCCATAGATCGATATCTACCCAGCCTGCTCTATCATCCTTGGGAGGGGTCCAACCAACATGCTGGTGAACTTCCGCTAGTGTTCTTAATCCTGTGTGGACACCAAGATCATGTGGGCTGTCCATCAATTAGCCTGCACTCTCACTACTTGACTGGTCCTATTTTATTTTTCCAATAACACATTTTTTAATGATGTCCTTTACATTAATTCTCCTGCACATTTTCTCATTGAGAAATGTGTTTCAGCCTGCTAATAATACTCACCACACACATCTCTATTGCCCTTTGGGTGATCTTCAAATTTAATTATTTGGAGACTATGACTCACAGCTATAGAACAGCACAGAACAAAATTGGAACTGATTATCCAATAGGTATCTCAAACTCAATATGGCCAAAAAAGAACTCATTATCCTTCCCACAAACATTCTCCTATTCTGATTTTCCTATTAGTTTTGAGGGCACTATCATGTGTCCCAGTCACACAGAATCATAATCTACCTTGGTGTTAGCCTTGCCTCTCACTTTCCCTCACCCCAAATAGCCAATATATTGCCAAACCTTGGCATTTCTGCCTTCACAACATCTGTCATGTATGTCACCTTCTTTCCACTAATTCAAGACTTTGTAACCTCTCTTCTGGACTATTGCAACAGCTTTGTATTTGGTCTCCCTGCTTCACGTCGCTTCTTAATCTTTCTTCCACTTGGTTACCAAAATGATTTTTTTTTACCACGTGATCTCCTGTCCTCAAAACTCCCATCCAATGAAATTCAATGGCTTCTTATTACCTCCAGGATTAAATATAAAGTCTTCTTGGGTATTTAAAACCTCACAATCTCCAACCCCGCCACTACTACCTTTCCAGTTTTCTCATACTTGACTCCCCTCCTTTCACTCAACAATCTAGCCCCACCAGTCTACTTTCTGTTCCTGGAACACAACTCTCCAGCTCCAATCTCCATACCCTTGCATTGATTGCTACCTCCATCCCTGCCTAGACCGGATTGCTCTGCCTCCTCACCAATGTCTCTTAGTCTCTCAGGCTTCCTTCAAAACTCAGCTAAAATCTCCAGGTGACTTTTCCTACTCTCTGAGCTGCTAGTATCCCTAGGCCAAAGTCACGTTCTATCTACTAGGAATATATTTTGTATGTATTTGTTGCTGTTGCTCAGTCTCATTTCAGTTGTATACAGCGCTTTGTGATCCCATTTGGGCTTTTCTTGTCAGAGATACTGAAGTGCTTTGCCATTTCTTTCTCCAGCTCATTTTGCAGATGAAGAAACTGAGGCAAACAGGGTTAAGTGACTAGCCCAGGGTCACAAAGCTACTAAGTGTCTGAGGCCATATTTAAACTCAAGTCAGGTCTGATACTTTAAACACTAGGCCCACCTAGCTGCCCCACTGAAGTCTACATATAACTTCTAAAGCTATCCTGCTTCTCTGTCATTCTGTTCAACCTTTATTCTCTAATATGCATTGAAAAATTCTTTGATAACTTTATATTTTTTTCCTATATTCTCTCTAATCTCACACTGTACCCTACTGATTCCTAATTGATAAAAGAAAACCAAAACTCTTGCAACAAACGGGTAAACTCAAGCAAAACATTCACACATTAGGATTGTCCAAGAATCTTAGACTTATCCTGAATTTTGAGTCCATCACCCCTCTCACAGCAGAGGCCCTCTGGAGATATGGTTGTTCCTTACTCTAATCCATATTCTTAAGTCTTTCATAGTTGTCTTTCTTTACAATGTTGTTATTTCTATTTAAATTATTCTCCTGGTTTTCCTCACTTCACTCCACATTCACATCGTACAAGTCTTCCTAAGTTGCTCTGAAAATGTCCCTTTTATCATTTCTTCAAGTACAATATTATTTCATTATATTTAATATACTAATAATTTGTTCATCCATTTTCAGTTGGTGGCCAATCCCTTTGTTTCCAATTTTTTGCTGTAACAAAAAGCTCTGGCATAAATATTTTTATACCTATTGATTTTTTCTTCTTTCTTTGTTTCTTTTGGGACACAGGCCTGAAAACTTGGGACAAAAAAGTATGCATGCAATTGGTGACTTTTGGGTCAGAGATACAAATTGTTCTCCAGAATGTTCACAGCTCAGACCACAGTATATTGGTCGCCTGTCTTCCTACAATCCTTTAAAAGTTGTCTTTTTTTATCTTTATCAATCTCATAGACGTGAGATGGAACCTCAGAGTTGCTTTAATTTGTATTTCTCTAATCATTAGTGATTGACACCTTTTTTTTCATATGAATATTGATAGCTTGGATTTCATTCATTTAAAGTTGCCTCTTCATATTCTTTGACCATTTATCTATTAGAGAATGGCTATCATTCTTATCTATTTGAATCAGTGATTCTTAAATATTTAAATGAGTTCTATTCCTTATAGGTCTTAGATTTGGGACCACTATCAGAGAAACTTGCTGTAAATATTTATTTTTCTCTGCTGTTCCACTTCTCATTTTCACTATATTAGCTTTTATTTGTATGAAAATATTTTATGTAATCAAAATTATCCATTTTTATCTTCTTTGATCCCCTCTGTGCCTTATTTGGTCCTAAACTCTTTCTGTATCTATAATCATTGAAGAAATTGTCTTCCTTGTCCTTCTAATTTGTTTTTATCTATTTTTTTTTATATTTGTCAAATATCTATATGGAGACATCTTTGGCATATGGTTGACATGCTGGCCTATGCCTAATTTCTGCCAGACCTTTTTCAATTTTTCTCAACAGTTTTTTTTTTCAAAGAGTGAGTTTTTATCCAAGTAATTGGAGTTGACTATTCTCTTTTTATCCCCCGTGACTACCACAGTGCCTGGCACATAATAGGCACTTAATCAATGGTCACTGGATGTTTCAAATCAACTAATTATATTATCTTCCTCAAGAATTGATGCGTTTGGAAAGCTAGATATCAAAGTTGTGAATTAATTACCCTTAGCAGTTAACAATCCTCTTCAGAAAGGATCTTTTTTTTTTCTTTTAAAAGAATTGATTCATTTTAAATATGAATAAAGAGGATATGAGAAAATATAATAGAAACACAAAGTCTTAGAGTTAGAAGAAACCTTGAAAGGCTTCTAGACCAAGCTTTCATGTGATATAGAAACCAAGACTTCAGAGGCCCTGACAGGTCATTCAGCTTCCTCTTGCGCACTTCTAACAGTCATCAGCTCACTATTTGCTCACACTTGACTATTTCTAATGTTAGACAGCTCTAGCTACCATAAGGTTTGTCAGTCTTCTACTTAGCCAAAATCCACCTCCCTGTAACTTCTCCCATTTGGCGTTCTTTCTGTCATCTAGAGGAAAAAAGAATAGACATCTTCTGCCTCTTCTATTCTTTAGCCTTCCTAAAACCAAACCAATATTTGGAAGGATTTTATTCTGCAATAAGCCATAGCATAGTATAGTGAATATAGCACTAGACTGAGAGCAGCTGGGGGAGGTGAATAGAATGCTGGGCCTAAAGTCAGGACGATTCATCTCTGAATTCAAATCTGGCCTCAGAAACTTACTAGCTGTGAGTCCCTGGGCAAGTCACTTAACCCTGTTTGCCTCAGTTTCCTCATCTGTAAAATGACCTGGAGAAAAAAATGGCAAACCACTCCAGTATCTTTGCCAAGAAAACCTCAAGTGAGGTCACAAAGAGTCAAACACAACTGAAACAACTCAACAACAACAACAATAACAACTGGAGCTAGGAAGACCTGGATTCAAATCACACTTGATACTTACTAACTCTGTGACTCAAGGCAAGACACTGAACTTCTATCTTTTCTCTACTCCCTTATACTTAGGTGATGGAGGTAGTTCTGATGAATTCTTGATGAGATCCCAGATCCCTCCAACATCTGCATATTTTTATGCAATAAAGCAGCAAGTATATCACATATTACTCAATTAATAGAGTGGAAAAGTGATATGCCAAATTCCGATGTAATTATTGTGCCTTTCTTTCTGCTAAAGTTTCTTTATGGTTTCTACAAAACATCCTACTATTTGTCAAAGTAACTATAAATCACCCAGGTCACTGCTTTACCTGAACCATTAATTTGCTAATCTGAGGTCAACTTGTTGAGGGTATTTTTAAAAATCCATACTAAAAGTGGAATTTTTGGCCTGATTTATAGCAGATTAATCAGTCTG